CAGGCTGTCAGAAATTCAGTGTGCAAGTCTGAGCTGGGAAAAAAGATACACTACCTGGTGGGACTGCAGGCCAATAATGGAGGAATAGGCCTGGATTGTTACATAGATCTCAGGCTGGAAGTCGATACAGGATCCAGGCACTCGGAAGGGCCGAAGCAGCCCACCCAGACAACGGGACAGAGCATGGAAAACTTCATCAAACAAGATCTCCCCTGTGGAATCATCCTGAGGGCAATGAAGAGAGAGATCTCACAAGGGAGTCCAAAGCGGTTCTACAGAGTGCAGAAATAAGCATATTTCCAGGGCTAGCAGGACCCTTTTCTTATGGCCGACTGTGCCCGTGGACACAGAATAGGCTCCATTCCGAACACCCACCGTCCACTCACAGGCTTGTCTTTTCCCATAAAGCTGAGGTTGCTCACTTTTCCCAGCTCTCTCTCCTTCTCATTCCCATCCTGTCTTGTTACTATTTCCCTCAAACTACTTACCACGATGCCAGTAGATGGGCTGAGGTCCAGCTCAATAACAAAACGATACTGCCAAGCCAGGAAGATGACCCGGGTGGAAGGGACAAGAAGGAAGGGCCTTGGGACCACTGGTTCATCTGGCTGCCATCCAGGGGGCAAAACACTGAGGACTTCCAATTCCTGCTCAGACTGAAGCTGACAAGATAGAAGAGGAAGAAAGGGTCGTGGGCAGGAGGGATGACTGCACACTGGTCAAGAAAGCTTGTGCTCTCAAAGAAAACTCCGTGTCAGGGGCCCACAGCCACCTGTAACTCCAGCTCCAGGGCATCTAATGCCCTCTTCTGCTTTCTATAGGAACCTACGTACATGTGACATACACTCACACACAGAAAAATTAAAAAAAGTTAAAAGAAGAAGGCTGAGAAGAGTTCCCTCTCTTCTCTGCACCCCAATTCAGTCCGGCTGTAGCTGTGAGGCTGCAGAGAACGTTTGCAACCTCTTTAGCATCACTGTCTCCTCATCTGCAAAGCAAACACGATCCTAACACCAACCAAAAGTGCTGCTATGCCGTCCAAGGGAATCCTGCACAGGAATGCTTCCAAGACCTGCCTCCTATATCCAAAATGACCCTCCACTGGCTCCACTTTTTCACACCCTTTGCAGCACTAGCTAGAAAATGTATGAGCAAATTTCCCGTAAGGAAGCACTTCACAGGAAAAGCCACTGCCCCTCGCAGCCTTAGAGCTCTAAGAAAAAAAAAAAAAAAGAAAGAAAAAAGAAAGAGAGAGATCCTTCTGGGCTATGCCCTCACCTCCCACCTGTCAGTCACTAGGACATACCAGGAACTCTTGGGGTGTGGCCTGAACAGTTTGATGCAGATGATTAAGGAACCAAGCCAGGCGAACATTTCGGGAGATTCGATAATCTTTTTTCATTAACAGAAACACCTGCCCAGCTTCTTCTACCTAATGAGAGAGATAAAGGAGAAAAAAAGAGGACAATGAGTGCCCAGTATATACACATCCCATTCAAGCAGCTTGTCCAAGGAGCCTACACAGCAAGAGGAGAGGCAGCAGAGCTGATGGCTATCCCTGCCATCATGAAAAGTGCTCCTGACACAGACCACCACATCGATGAAGGGAACTTACCTTCTATGGTGTGTTTTCACAAATGTTTGCATGAGTTTCTCTTATAAACCATAAGCTCTTAAAGGTAGGAGAGGTGCTTTGTCCTGCTTGTATGCCCCTGGGCTTGGCAAACATTTACATGAGACCCAGTAAGTATCCGATCTGCTACATGAACACTCGCCAGTAACCGCCTCAGTCCTATCCACAGCAGACACTGAAGAAGCCTTCATTGAATGGTTTAAGATTCCTGAGCAAATGAAGCCTCCTAGGTGATAGCTCACTCATGTCAAGGTCCTGTGGGTCACATTCTCCATGCACACGCACACGCCGACCAACTGCCAATGCTTTAGTTTCTCTCCCCTGAGCCTTCAGAGGTGGTCAGTCCAACAGCATCCTTATTTTTCTACTATACAAACCCCTGCCAAAGATGAGTCTGGACATCTCATCCTCCGTCCACACATACACTATGGCAGCTGTACTCTCACAGGAAGAAACCGATCACTTTGCCAAAGTGGTAAATTTTAAGAAGCTTGACTTCTTGGTCAGTAGCCTTTCTAGCCCCTCCACCCCTGTTTTTTTCACAACCACCCCAAACCTGTACTCCCAGCAGAATGACTTACCTATCATTCACAAAAACTGAATAATTACCTTAGCTATTATATCATTAAAAACTGAATAAGCTTGTTAATGGATAAAGAATGTGGTTTTATGACAGCAAGAAACAAAGCCGCCTGCTCCTGTGTAGGATCCTAGGAAGATGGGATGGTGAAGGTCCTGTAGAGCTCACTACATGAGATACTCCGGATGGAGGGCAGCAACCAGTCACTGCATTACTGAAGGCACATTGGAGCACTCAGCTTTACAATTCGTAACCTTTCTCTTGCTCTCAATGCAGTTCTGAATGACTGATGTCTCCAATGCTTAACTGAAGTCTGGTTCACCTGTCAGTTCTTACAGAATCCATCTTGAAACCAGGAACGCCTGCCTAGCTTTCTGGGAAAACCTCACCTTTATCTGTGATTCTTTGATTCAAACATTTCCAAAACCTCCTAAGGTGTCATACATCCAATATGTACTTTATCAGCACCAGAAGGCTAGCTTAATTTAAGCAGCTGGAATGTTTTTCAGAGTGGGCTTCGAACACCAGCTGCATCAGAATCACCTGAGCTATTTATTAAAATGCACACTTGATTCCTGGGTACCACCAGAGACCAACTGAATTAAGAGCTGAAGGAGATGGAGAATCCACATCTGAACTTGCTACCCTGGGCATTTTTCCATATCACTGTTTGAGAAGTGCTTTAATTAGTTATGTTTCGTAGCATTCACATTCATACAGAGCTTCAAGACCTCTCGGAATCTGATGCTAACCTCCCGGAATCTGATGCGCATGAAATAGCCTGATAAACAAGACAAAGCAGGCGTTTGGCATCAGAGCCCCAGATTCTAACGTGTTCTACAATATGTTATGCATGTGACCTTGCAGGTTACTGAAATTTTTTCCAGGCTTCAATCTCTTTTAATAGCTAGATTAAGATAAGGATATCTTTGTAGGGATACTGCAAACAGGAGGGTAAGTACAATGGCAGAGGGAGGCTATCATTGTTCAGAACATTCATTGAACTCTACATACCATTTATGCCAACCTGAATAAAGTGCTGCAGGCTCTGTGCTTCCTTTTTCCCGGGTTTTGCTCTTGTATCTTTGAGATAAAGGGCCAAATTATCCTCTAACCCCTTTCTAAAACATGTGCTATCTTCCTACGACGTAATGTAGATCCTTCCCTATCCTGAAGCCTCTCACCATTATAAACCTGAACTTCTAGCACGAGCTCCACGTGAACTTCCCTCTCCCCAGTCTCAGCTCCCTTACCCACCACTACAGTAAAAGCAGGCAGCAAAGTGTTAAGAGCACCTTGGACCAAATGCTGGCTCTGTCAGTCTCTTCATTTGTGAACAGGGATAACAAGACTGACTATTTCATAAGGATCGTACCTGTACTAGATACTTAGAGAACTTAAACTTTCTGAGTTCCACCTTACTGCTTACAGAAGAAGGTCAAATGTGCCATTAAACCTGAAACATCCTCATTTGCTCCTCTGACACACCCGTTGTGACCCAATGTTCACTTATTCCTCAAAGCTTAGGAGGAGATCAGTCTTACACTCTGCATCCACCTAACACGCAGCAGCACAACTTTGGGTCCAGAGCAGCACTGCTCTCTCTTGGGAACCTAACAACTCCAAACATCGCTTTGTCTTCTTGGCATTCTGCTTCTAGACTGCTCTTTTTTTTTTCACATGTGTAGCTTCTTCATCACATTCACGCAGCCATGCACGTGTGCGTACTCCTACATATGTATGCAGATATACATGCTCTGTGTACACATGGAAAAGCACACGTGTCATGGTGCACACATGGGGGTCAGAGGACAACTGGTAGGTCTAGAGTTAGATCATCTATTTGGGAGTTCTAGCCCTAATACCTTTTTAATAGCTGTACCTCAGTTTCCTGAAAGGGGGGGGGGTGATAATGGTGCTTACCTTATAGGGCAGAAAGAACTGGTAACACTCAAGAGCTCAGAATGGTGGCAGACACATAGTGGGGATTATACGAGCAGCCATTACTCTTTGCATCATTACACACATCCATCACCCTTCCCTCCTAAGTATTCTGCTGTGGTTCTGGACATTCTAGTCAAATCTAAGATTTCGTTTCCTTCTCAGATCCTCTAATTCGGCTAGAATGAGTAATCCTAAGGTATCTTGGCACGATAAGGCACCTTGCCTGCTCTGATTTTTCGGTTTTCTGCTCTGTATAAGAGAATGAAAAATGCCAGATTCCTGACACGAGTTCTTCGCATCTAAGAGGTGCCTCATGTGACTTAACTTGTGCTCCCCAAGCCACATCACAGAACAAAGATTTTTATAAAGAAGGAGACAGGATCTGTGAGGTGAAGACGGCTACGATGGTGGCAGGGCTTTTGCAAAAGCATGGACGCCAGAGAGGAATCAACTAGTGCTGATTGCATTCCAGCTGATGAGATGCGAAAATCCGCAAAGTCGGTCAGCTTCGGTGTGACCAATGAAAACTGCAACAATTAACCCAAACACGAGTTTTGTCGGCACCATTATCTCTAGGTCTGTGGGTGGGAGACGTGGACCACGATGACATTTGAGTAAACAGCTACTGCCTCCTCGAGGCTCCGGAGGGTGGAGGCTGGTACACGCCTGCCCTCGGACCTCGGCCCCGCGCCCGCCTGCCCCTCACCTCTGGCTCCGGGCGCTCCGAGGCCATCACACTGCCCTCCCGCGCCGGCCCGGGCCAGGGAGGCTGCTCCACTCCTGACCTCTGACCCAGCTAGCTCGGAACCGGGCAGGAACCGGAAGTCGTTGGGAGGGCCGCGTTTTGAGCTTTTTGATTGGTGGACACAGCCGGCAGTGCGAGAAACCGGAAGAGGAAGTGGTTGCGCCAGCCCGGCCGTGGCAATGCAGGTGAGAAGCGGGCTGGGCCTCCCAACCCCTAGCCACAGGTTGGGAGGGTGGACAGGGTGACTCTGGGAAGTTGGGGATGTGAGGAGAGGGCAGAGGCCTCGGCTGTTTGGGGAAAGACGGCGAAACAGGAAGGGACGAGGACAGCTGCGGGAATTGAGCCCGCTAACGCGAGAGGGTCAGAGACCTGGGGGAGGCAAGGCCGACTTGCTTGACTGTGTGAAAGGGTCGAGAAAGTAGTGGATTGACCCCAGGCCTCGACCCTGGCGTAACAAGGCTTCGGAAGGGCTGAAGAGATTGTGGGCCGCCAAGGACGAAAATTAAGCTGTTTGTAATCCGAGGCTGTGGGTGGATCTAACCCCATCAGTCACATTGTGGGGTTTGCAAATCAGCTTTGTATCCTACAGTGCGGGTTTATGGGTCACCCGAGTTTACGAAAGAGACACTGGAATACTGGCACAGCCATCCATGAGCACACATTGACTCAGCAAATGCTAAGGATAGACGACCCGTTGGGGAGGGACCGCAGAGCTGGTATTCAGAGAAAGCCTCACACATCTAGGCAAAATGTGAGATTCTCCAGACTGTGGCATTGACAGTAGCTGCGTTCACAAGGCAGAGAATAATGGTGTATGTACCTGGACTCCAGAGGCACCCATGGGACAATGAACTTCAGGAATTCCTTCTGACCTTAAGTACCGATAGCACCCCTGCTAACATTGCCTGACCTTTCTAAAATGTACTGAACTTCTGAAAGAAATGTGACAAGCCTGGTGGTGGTGGTGCACGCCTTTAATCCCAGCACTCGGGAGGCAGAGGCAGGTGGGTTCGAGGCCAGCCTGGTCTACAAGAGCTAGTTCCAGGACAGGCTCTAAAGCTACAGAGAAACCCTGTCTCGAAAAACCAAAAAAAAAAAAAAAGAAAAGAAAGAAAGAAATGTGGCAATACCAACCCCACAAAGTGACACAATATAAGGATTCTCCATATGCCCAAGGAAAGCAGCGTTAATGACAGCAAGCATGAGTGTGGTAGGCAGACTCTGTCTATTTTCCAGAAAAGGGCTAGGCTTAGAAAGAAGATTGGGCTTGAGCATGTCCTACTGCAGATCCAAGAGAAGGTTGGCTTTTAAGAGCGACAAACCTTCTGAGCTGGGAGAAGAGGATGGAAATGAAAAGATAAAGGGTAAAGGATACAGTGCTAAGCCAATTTCGTTTCGAAGGCATAAAAAAAAAAAAAACCCATGAGGTCATAAGCGGAAGGGATTTAGGCCTGGTGCAATGTTCTTATTGAAGGACCATAGTGTAGGAGGATAGAAGGGACCAAGTTGGCAGGAGGACCTCAGGCCAGGTGAACAGGTTGAAAGGTCTGAGGGTTGATGCTGTCAGTAACCCAAATACCAAGATAGAAAACAATTTAGCCTCTCTTTGTGTCACACTCCCTGGTATCTGAGTAACCCAATGTCCTACTGATGCAGAGGGAGGAGAAGCAGCTTGAGGCATCATTAGATGCACTGCTGAATCAAGTGGCTGATCTGAAGAATTCACTGGGGAGTTTCATTTACAAGTTGGAAAACGAGTATGACCGGCTCACCTGGTAAGGACTGCCAGGACAAGCTGGGGAGGGAGCCATGGGTGGTGGGGCCAAGCCCCCTGGCTGACAGGACATCTCCAGTGATGTAACTATTTATCAGTTTGCAAATATCCTTTTGGATTTGGAAAGAACTAGGTTGCCCAACATTGACAAGTATAGTTTGGTTTAAGGCCTCCATAGCCAGGAAGTAGAGAAGTGTCCAGTTTCCCAACCCAGGTTGTTTCTAGGTTTTAATGCTTATGCTTTGACTTTGGTGAGGAGGTATTCCCCCAGTGGAGGACCATTATAGCTATATTCATGCTGTATGTCCTTCCACAGATGTGGCTGAATCTGAGATCTAACCTACTCTGCAATGGTGGGTTCTCTTAGGAGGCTTTTATACACCTTAGGAGTTTTCAGTTACCACAGTGTAACCAGTTTCTGTTTACTACCACTCCCAATCCCATTCAGACAAGTTACCTTTTTCAACATCTATGTCAGAAATTGAAAGTGTGTTCCTCTTTCCTAACTCCATCCTTTCTGCTAGCAAGTCTGGTTCTTGCCTAGGCCAGTCCTAGGGCTGTGAGTCTTGTAGGGGTGAGTCTGGGTGTTCCCGCACTGGAAACTTTTAGAGATTACTTTATAGGGAAAAGTAGTTCTGATGACTTCTTACCACCCCCAGGCCCTCTGTCCTGGATAGCTTTGCACTGCTCTCTGGACAGCTGAACACTCTGAACAAGGTCTTAAAGCATGAGAAGACACCCCTGTTTCGTAACCAGGTCATCATCCCTCTGGTGCTGTCCCCAGATCGAGATGAAGACCTCATGGTAAGAAGAAAGGATTAAACTTGGGAAATCAAGTTAACTGAAAGTCTAGAGCACAGTTGTTGATTGGATCCTCTGTATAGCAATGGAAAGTGAGGGCTGCCATCTGGAAGACTTGCTTTTTTATTCTTCTGGAGGTGGGAGTCACTCTTAAACAATGCTGTGAAAACCAAGGCCCATGTCACCAAGTCCATGACCCTTTTTTCCAACATCTATATCAGGCAAAAAAAAAGGGGGGGCGCTGTTCTGCCTGCCTGTGACTTTGTCCAATCAGTCTTTAAAATGTGGGGTTGGGAATTTAGCTCAGTGGTAGAACAAAGTCCTGATTTTGGTCCTAGAATGGGGGTCAGGGTGGGGAATCACAAAAAACCAAAACAAACAACAAAAAGAAAGTTATGGTGTGGAATTTAGTTTGCCTGAGTTCTGATAGAGTGTGTGTGAAAAGACAGTGCCGTAGGAAGCTACATTTGTACCTCAGGTTGTGTTGTCTCTGAAAATGCCGTTTCTTGTGGAAGGGAAACTGGGTTAGAGTCAACTTTACTTGGATAGCAAATAGGATTAATACAATCTGTGTTACAGCGTCAGACTGAAGGACGAGTGCCTGTTTTCAGCCATGAGGTCGTCCCTGACCATTTGAGAACCAAGCCTGACCCTGAAGTTGAAGAGCAGGAGAAGCAGCTGACAACAGATGCTGCCAGAATTGGTGCTGATGCAGCGCAGGTTAGACTGAGTCACTGCCCTGCTGCCCCATCCCCATCCCTTCATAAGAAACAAGGCTTTACCAAGCCTGTGTAATAGGGGTATGTAGTTGGTTACAGCTAGGCTGCCTCTGGAAGAGCACAAGGAAGATGCTTCCCCAGAATCATTACTAATCTCTATATCAATTCATATGTGTTACAGAAGCAGATTCAGAGCTTGAATAAAATGTGCTCAAACCTTTTAGAGAAAATCAGCAAAGAAGAACGAGAATCAGAGAGTGGAGGTAAGGAGGGATGGCTGGCAGAGCAGAGGGGGAGCTGTACAAGATCACTAGAATAGTAATAGTAATCAGCCTAGTGGTGAAGTAAGGATAGAAAATAAACTGCTTGGCCTGGCAAGATGGCTCAGTAGGCAAAGGCACCTGTTGCCAGGCCTGACCTAAATTTGATCCCTGGGACCAATATGGTGGAGGGAAGAACCAACAAGTTGTCCTCTGATCACCATACACAAAATAAATAAATGTGATTTTAAAAAAGAAGAATAAACTGGCAAGGAAAGTGTCTGTATCCTGTTAGTGTTTTGTGTCTGAGACTAGCCTTAAAGCAAATGGGAGAAATGGACAAAGTGAAAATTAAAGATAGCTTTGGGGGACAAAGATAGCTCTTTGGGGTTGTAGGAATTCTAGTTGTCTCTGTAGTCAGAACTGGTGGTCATCACGGCCCTCCAGCTGCTGGGTTTAGTCCAGAGTTGAACCACATACACACTTCAGGGTTCTTGGCTTTTTCTTCAGGTCTCCGGCCAAACAAGCAGACTTTCAACCCTGCAGACACCAATGCCTTAGTGGCAGCTGTTGCCTTTGGGAAGGGGCTATCTAATTGGAGACCTTCAGGTAGCAGTGGTCCTGGCCAACCCGGCCAGCCAGGAGCTGGTCCAATCCTTGCAGGAGCCTCAGGATTACAGCAAGTTCAAATGGCAGGTGCTCCAAACCAGCAGCAGACAATGCTCAGTGGAGTCCAGATGGCTCAAGCAGGTCAACCAGGTAGGGTGACATGGGTTAACTATCCAGGAGTGTGGGAATGAGCTAGAATAAGCCTTCTTTAACCCCGGACCTGGAGATCTTCCTCCTTTTCATTGCTACTTAGAAGACACTTGGAAGCTTTGCAACAAGTACCAGAGAGTGAAGAGAAGGACTTGAATAGCAAAAACTGGTGTTGCCTTTTACTTCCATTTCAGACTTTTGTCTCAATTGTCCTATTTATTCTGGATGTTAGTGTGTATCTCTTAGGTAGAGAAATAAGTGACCAGACCTTGATCAAGACCGTTTGGTAGATAATCAAGAATCAATGCCGTGTGGTGGTGGTGGCACACGCCTTTAATCCCAGCACTCAGGAGGCAGAGGCAGGAGGATCTCTGTGAGTTTGAGGACAGCCTGGTGTACAAGAGCTAGTTCCAGGACAGGCTCCAAAGCTACAGAGAAACCCTGTCTTGAAAAAAAAAAAATCAACAAGCTGGCAGTTTTCTGGGTCTGCATGGATTCTTTCCTTGCCCGTCCCTTGGTCTTGGTTTCCTGCTGTCTCTCGTGCTCATTTTTACTTACTGTGAGAGCAGTCTGGAGGGGTTCACGGAACAGCTGCCTAGGGAAAAGGACAACTAAAATAGCAGAGAACACAGTGCTCTGCTTGTAACATTAAATAGGGTCCACATAGGCTACATGCCTGTCTTTTCCAGACGTAGATGGTGGATGAGCAGAAGTCCACGGGGGGCGGGGGGTGACTGTTCAGACCCTCCTCTCCTTTCAGATCCTGATACCTTCAGATCCTGATACCTTCAGTGAGGGAACTGGCTGAAGAGCCACAACCTGTAATCTCTGCCATCCAGAGTCAGAAGTCACAGAATAGATGACAGGATTCTGAGAAGCTGCATTTCTGATTGATTTATTGTGAAAGTTTACCTTTCTTTGTGTTACTTTTAGGGAAAATGCCAAGTGGGATAAAAACCAACATCAAGTCGGCTTCAATGCATCCCTACCAGCGGTGAGTGTGGACAGCAGCCTCCACTCTCAGGTGATCCGTGCCGAGTTGGGCAATGAAATTATCTTTTACTCAAGGCTGATGTAGATGGGTACAATGTAAAGAACACAGGCTTTCAGCAACAGACGGATCTCAGCTCCTCTGTGAAGAGCTGTGCGACCTTGGGAAAGTGACCTAATTACTCTGAGCCCAGGTTCTCATTTGTAAATGGTCATAATACCTACCTCATAGGGTTGTTGTGAGGATTAAAATGAGAAAATGAATGTAAAACACTTAGCATGGTATATGAAATACTGGATCTTGAATAAATGATAGTTATTTTTTACTTTTCCACCCTGCTACTTACTGTCCTTTACCCAGAATGCGCTGTGATTGATACAGCTCCATGACAGTGGTGTGCTAATGGAGATAGGATCAAGTAATCCAAAGACCATGGCAGCCTGCATGTCTTGAAGTTATATTTTTGCTGTAGGCTCTCCTGCCCAGGTTCCATCCTGTTGGCTCCATCCAGGCTGCAGGTGAAGAGGTTTCTGGGCTGGGACACCCTCCACCAGGTCTGGTGAAACTAGTTCTGCTTTTACCTGGAAAATAGGGAAAAGTACCCATCTTTTACCCTACCCTGCCTATGAAGATGTCTAGGGAGCAGTAGGTGGGAGATTTCTTAGGAAGGGGCCCTGTCAGGCAATAGCACAGATGAAATACCATCTTCCTCCTTTGAGACAAATTGTACTTCACACTGTCGTTTGTCAGGGTTGCCTTGTCCTCACAGTCAGTACTCCCTGTTTCTGTCCTCTTCCATGGCACTCAGTGTGTGGCTCAGATAAAATCCAGATTGAAAGTAGGAAGGGCACAGCCCCATCCACCTTGTCTGCTTTTGGAGAGGTGAAGAACTGTCCAAAAGGACAGGCAGCCTTGTTGCCTTTCTCAGCATTCTTTCATGGGCAAGGGCAGGGATTAAGTCAGCAGAAGTGGGCCAAAGGGTTTCTTTGTTCAATAAAGTTATTTAAATTGATGTTCACTGACTCAGGGTTGTCTGATTCAAATTTATGAACAATCTACCCGGTAATTCTAATTCACCTTAAAGTATTCCCTTATCTTTAATTTTTCTTTTATTTAAAGATCCAAAGAGTTTCTTCCAGCTGCACTGTTGGTGTTCTCTCCTGCCACACACTAATGCTTTGGTCTTTGGTCTTTGTTAAACAGCATTCTACCAGGCTGTGGCAGCAAAGGCCTGGAAAAGTGGTCCTCTGTTGCTGGGCTGTGGAAACATGAGTGGTGTTGACAAAGCTAATTGACCACAGAACACTGTACCAGGGGAGTCCTATCATCTGCTCTGAGGCAATGCCAAACCTTTCTCCCACTTAAATTGGCCGGGCCATTAGCCCATCCAGGTGTTGTTTATCTTCTCATCTTTTCTCTTCCCACTAAATGTCAAGGCTAACTGGGGTATTGAATAGAACTCTAGCTGGTCTTTTCCAGACTCTCAGAGTATCTTCCAGTGACTGCTGTCCTTTGCTCCACCTGTAACCAACCCTGAGAGTCTTTGTTGTTCCAGCTAAACTGACTTCATTCCCCCCATACTATTGAAATGGCTTCCTTGTCCTCCAAGAACAGGAATATCTTCCTGCTGCAAGAGGAGCATTCAGGGCCTCACCTACATCTCCTGCCCTTAAGCAAACACTTTGGTGGTGGAGGCACCCACACCTCTCTTAGTTGCTCTGGTAGCACATACTGTCATTTCCACCGCCTCCTCCCTCCAGAGCCCCAGACATCTCAGCATACAAATCTGCTGCTCTCCCACTTTGGGGCTCATATACCAGTTCACCCCACAATGGAAAGAATGTCTGGAACCCCTACTATTTGCTCTCTCAGGAGGAATGTATATGGAGTTGCCTATGGAAAAGAACACTGTTTACTTGCTCAGATCTGGGTTGTAGATGACATGCACTGCTCTAGCATTCCTGTTTCTAACCATCGTCTGCTGCGCTTGGGGCCCTTGGCCAGAGGTCTGCTGCATTGTCCCTCAGGTTTGCTCTGGGATGGAGAAAGCAGCAGCAGGTGTGAAACGTCACGTCTTCCCACAGCAGTTCATCCCACTTTGGAATCCAAGTCAAGCCTGACAAGGTTACCTAAGACCTTTCTCTCTAGCTCTGCCCTGAGGCTGGGATTCAGCCATTGCTGATTGCCCTGGCCACCTATTCTTTCTCTTCTTCCATTGTAGAATTGCTGTCCTACTTAGCTGGCTCACCACACTCAGCCGCTTTTTGGGGACAATAGCTAAGATAGGTAGGTTGTAGCCAAATGTTCCTTGTAGCTTTGCAGAGTGCCAGCACTAGGTACAGGCTAGAGAGGATGAACTACCTCAGTCTGCTGAAAGGAAAAAGCTAAACTCAGCAGGAATGCCCCCGATGTGAGGCCGAGCCCTTTTCCACCCCCTCCACACCTCCCCCAAGCAGCTGGAAACAACCTCTCCCTTTGTCTGAGTTTCTTGTACAGAATAATCCTCCTTATGGACAATGTATTCTCTGTGCCTGGTGGACACAGGAGCCGTGTGCGCTGATCCCAGCACTAGGCAGGACGGAGGCTGAAGCCTTCCAAACGCCCACCCTGCTCAGCTCCTGATCAATGTCCAGTAGAACTAAGAGTTGGACATTTTTTCCTGTGTGTTCCAGATTGGAGTGGCAGCAGAGCCTTTTGTGGCTTGTCGCTGACCAGTAGTTGTGCTCCCTTTTCTGGTCTGCCCTGAGTGTTAAGCACCAACTTGTAGAGGTTTGATGTGATTGCTTCCTCAAAGTCAGGAATGTGCAGGGGCTAGCACTTGGAAAATGATAGGGACAGGAAGTGACTTTTCTGGCAGGCCATGGTGCTCCATCGTGTCACTTGGACATCAACATGTACTCTAGTCCACAGGACAAACTTCTTTCTTTAGCAGGCTCTGTCTGTCCTGTGCCTGACTCTCATGTGTCACCGAGGCAGAGCCCTGGTCCCTCTAATGTGGTCTTTTGTTAAGAGCCACATGCCCTCAGAATGTGAGCTACTACTTGAACACTTCCCAAGCATGGCAGAGACCAAGGCTGTTGTGTTCCTTGCGCCTCCCTTACCTCACCCGAAAGACCCCAGTGATCTTTCTAGCCAGGCAGTTGATGTTGACTCCAAAGGCCACTTGTGTGTGCTTTCTTTTTTGTTTTATTTTTCTTACTGAATAGCTGTATCACATAAATAGGGCAGATTTCCTAAATTCCTCAAACCCCTAACAGCTCCTTCTAACATTCTCTGTCATGAGCCTTCTTCTAGAGCAGTGGTTCTCAACCTTCTTAACACTGCGGCCCTTTAATACAGTCCCTCATGTTATGATGACCTTCCAACCATAAAATTATTTTCATTGCTACTTCTTAACTGTAATTTTGCTGCTGTTAAGAATCATGTAAAATCTGTTTTCCAGTGGGATTGTTCGACCCCCAAAGGGTCTTGACACACAGGTTAAGACCTGCTGCTCTAGCCCTCGTCCCTGGAGCTCTTCTCTAGCATTCCTGCCTTTCTCATGAAGACGACCCAAAGAGGTGGTGAGGTAGCTGGGTGTGGTGGCGCATGGCTTGAATCTCAGCACTTGGGAGGCAGATGCAGGCGGATCTCTGACTTTGAGTCTAGCCTGGTCTACTTAATGAGTTCTAGAATAGCCAGAGCTACATAGTGAGACCCTGTTTCAAAACAAACAAACAAAAGAGAGGTGGTGAAGTGGCTGTGGATTCGAAGTTAACTTCCCACTCTCAAGGGTCTGGCTCCTCTGGACAAGATAAATATATGGAAGGATTTTTTTTTCAGTCCAGATTATATTTGGTGTAACTTTGATAACCCTACCTACTTGGCCGATAGTTAACACAGGTTCTGTATGTCTAAACTCAGTCATCCCTCCCCTCATGCCTGTTTCCCAATTTTTCTGGAAGTAACATAAGCCAGGAATATGGGAGTACCATGAACTATTTTTCTTACACGTTCCCAGCTACCTCCGCCATATGATAGTAACTTCACCCCCTGAACCAAATACAGTGCCCTGAGTGGCTTGCCTTTCTACTTCCTGCCTCTCCACTGTCTCCCTTGCTCTCACCCTACCTCCCTAGTGTGTGGTCCTTTGGATTGCTGTGTTTTCTCACAGTCTACGTGGAGATCATCTTTTATTCCTTAGGCTAGTTTCTCTGGAGTCCACCTGTTTTCACGGCCTGGTTAATGATGTTTTAAGAGTCTTCCATAGTAGAAATCTTTCTCTGGCTCTGTTCTTAGGTTAACCTCTCCGTAGCACTGGGCAATGCTGACTATTTCCTTTAAGTCTCTTTCCCTGCACTGGCTTCGATTTCAGCCTCTTGTTCTCCCGCCTCACTGGATAGCCCTCCTCAGCAGCTTTGGGACTTCTGAACTTATGCCTTCTTGATTGCTCCTCTTCTCAACTTGCCCATAACCCCTTCTTAAGCTACCTACCTTCCATATGACCACCATCCTTTTGTGCACAGCTCAAGCAAGTGTCCTTTTCAGCTCAGATCTCTGCTGAATTGCAGGTTGCTATTTTGGTAATCCTGGTCCATTTGACCCACAGTTACCACGGGTTCCAGGTGTCCAAATCCAGTCATCCTTCTTTCTCCACGCTTGTTTTTCTTCTAGTTTCCTTAGGTATTATCTAAGCTAGGGACAAGGGACCACCCTAAACTATTTCTCCCACGTGTTCCCAACTACCTCCCCTATGTCCAATACCAAGCTCTGTCAGCTTGTGTCTCCACAACACCTAACTCATTCGCACTCAGCTGAGCCTCTGAACCACTCCCAGTGAGAATATTATTCAGACAGTCTCCCTACATCTGGAAACTACAGCTTCTCTTCCCAGAAGCTGCCAGGTCTTTCTAGATTACAGATCTGATCCTATTATTCCCTTGCTTGAAATCTTTTTAACCATTTACCCCTGGTATTTCTCAAACGGGTTCACACATCTAGCAAGTTGGTAAAAAAAAAAGCCATAGAATAAAACTATCCTGGAATTTTTTATTATATTATTATTATTATTAAGACTGGGTTTCTCTGTAGCTTTGGAGCCTGTCCTGGAACTAGCTCTTGTAGACTCAGGCTGGCCTCAAACTCACAGAGATCCGCCTGTCTCTACCGAGTGCTAGGATTAAAGGCAGCGCCACCACCACCTGGCTATCCTGGAATTTTCATTTTACTTGAGGGTAATTTAAAATGAAATGCAACTTGTGTGTGTGTGTGTGTGTGTGTGTGTGTGTGTGTGTGTGTGTGAGAGAGAGAGAGAGAGAGAGAGAGAGAGAGAGAGAGAAACAGAGACAGA